TTTTATTTAGTAACATGTTGAATTTTAAAATACTATTTAACGTAAATTCTAACACCAGTACAAGTCAGTTTATATCATAATTCTCATGTTTTAATTTATATCATGCAAATCCAAAAATATATATAATCAGAATTTAAATCATATTCTTAATAACACAAAAATATACTTCATCATGAATATTTATGAATTTTGTGATAGAAATAAAAACAATTAAAATACTACATAGTTAAATCAGAAAAAGTAATATATATGTTAGTTACCTCATAAAAACTACAAATAATGTTGTGAACCATTAAATAAGTACATGATTGAGAATTGTATTTTATTGATGTCATCGTTTTATTTCTCATAAAGGTTTATACTCGCCAAACTTTATACAATTTTAACTTCATAGTAAATATAATAATATTATTTTTTAACTTATATAATTTTCAATATACACTTGGAAGGTACCAATTGCGTCATAGGTCAAAAATTTTCATTTTCTTTGTGATATTATATATTTCTATATTGATAAAATAAGTACTTTTATAGATTCTTTTTATTATTTTATTTTTGTATGGTTAAGTATATCTTTAAACTTTTGAATTGCGGTTTCTATAACCTTTCTAAATTTTGTTTTTCCAATTTATCTACCTTTTTTATCATTCATTTTTAATTATTTTAATTGACATTTTTCTTCTGTATGTATTATTTGTTTATTTTATGGCTTATGTAATGTCTATATTTCATCTTAAATTTTGTTTCTTAATTAGTATAGATACTATTAGAAATTTTACTTTTTATTATTTGATTAGTAATTTGACAACTACTTTTTATTTTAAATCTTATTTTTTCTTAATTAATTTTAAGTTTTAACATATTTATCATCTGATCAATATTAGATACATATCGCAATCTCGTGAGTTATAATTTTGCTTACATGTTATGCTTATATAAAAATGAATTGCGGTAAATACTTTTGACTTTAAAATTTATAACGCCTATAATTTGACAAATGTAATTAGATTCCAAATTATGACTGACAC